GCCCTACAGCCTGGGGGAGGTGAACGGAGTAGCTCTGTGAAAACATTTGAAGTTGCAAACCTTTTCCTGTGGGGTATCCTTGTTTGTTTGCCCCTTCTTCCTCCTCATTTGTATTAGTCTGGATCACGGACCCTGTTTAATAATGGAAACGAAGATTTTGAGACATTGTGAGAAAACTATTGTTTTGCAAAGCAAAGCTAAAACACTTTCATGTGTTTTTGCCTTGTTTCACACACACACATACACACACACACACACACACACACATGTCCATCACTGGATGGCTCCAATACCAAATGGTGGCGACTTCCTTGCATTTCTGGCTAAGCCATTGCAGATCTCTAATGCCAGAGAAAGAACTTTCAAACACGGGATTCCCCCGCCCCCAATAAGTTAGTTCATGAATTCAGTCGCCAGGCAGTTAGCATGGAGAAACCAAATTATGTATGTGCCTGCGTGAAATGGTGTTTGTGCACTTCTGTGACAAAACTACACCTTGATTTGGTTGGATGCAGTGGGTGTGTCTCCGAATGCTGAATATCGCTAGCTGTCTACTTGATGGCAAGGGCCAAGCTAAGTATTGGCTTGAGACCCACCTGCTGGTATGGCAAACCATTTTTTGCATTATGATTACATTGTCGTGCAGCTGCTATGTATAATAGGCAGAACCTATAGCTCCATGCTAGGTCACATGCTTTGCATTTAAAGGGTCCCAGGGTTCAGACCTTGGTCCCTCCAGTTAAGAGGGCCTTGGGTGACAGAGTTCGGAAAGATTTTGGAGGGGCACCAAAAACTGGCTTCTGGTTTTTTGAAGGCCTCCTAGTAGACCCTCACGCAAGAAGCAGAGGGGGAGGGCTAAGCAAACAGAGAGAGATAAAGGGAGGTTCATCCTCCTCCTCCGTAACCAGGAACATCTTCTGGACAGCTCTCCTCTACATTCCTCTGTCCTCAGTGGGGCCCCTCTGTTGGACTTGGTGTCTGAACAACTGCCCTATTTTGCCACTTCCTGCAGCCAGCCATAAAAGTGGCTTGCAGTCAGAACAGAACGTAGCTGGCTAGATGATCTGTCTCAGAGTGAGTTAGACATAATGTTCTTATTATAAGTGACAGCATCCACGTCTCTGCAAAAGGTCCCCAGGTTCAGCCCTGGCATCTCCACAAGAGAAATGTCTTTCTAACACTTTGGAAAGCTGTTGCCAGGCTGACAGTCTGATGCAATATAAGGTCAGCATTACTTGCAAAAGAACAAACAGAACAAAAGCCCAACTGCATGTGCCCACAAGGAGTTTAGAGTTGTTCTGTGTTGCAGAGCAAACCACATTTGAACTTGCGGGGGGGGGGGGCAGGGATGAAAAAGCTAAAGTGTGATTGTCACCTTAAGTAACATTCTCTGCATTGGCACAAAAGTCTCCACTGGTTGCGGCTCAAGCTTTTAGGTGGGGAGGGAGATGCCCTGCCGTTATGTATCCCTAACTCAGTAGAAGAGAACCAGACACACACCAAATCTGGATAATTTGTGGAATAAAATGGCCACAGATTTATTGGTTACAGCTGTAAGAAGCATTGGCACAGAATGGGTCCACTGAATCCAAAGCATCAGCTGGCCCGCGCCAGTCGATGTACCCCATCACACCCAGCCCACTGGCTTGGGTGGAGAACTGCGGGATGGCAGGTTGCAGGAGGCCACACGGATGACTGCCCCTCAGTGGTCTCCCCTGACATCTGCTTGTGAGGGCAAACGCTGGTAGTCCCAGAGCAGGCTTGTTCCCCTAAGCCTTCACGCCAAGACCCCTTAAGGGGGTCCGTGTAACCATGAAATGGCATGCAGGCCGATTACTGTAAACGTAAACTGTTACTGCCAGTCGGTTATGACTAGAAATAGAGCATATAAAACAACAGACAATATCATTTGGCTAACAACTAAACTAAGAACATTCAAATTGCATTGTCCCCCAAACCGCTATGCACTCATCGCACTGCTATCATTGAAGGCTCACTCTCTAGGGCAAAAGTTCCATGGCCAGACAAAGGATGGGGCAGGAGGCAAGTGGCCAGCCCACCCCCAGCCACATTAGATCCCAGTGATTGGTCTCTTGGGGGAAGGAGAAAGCCCAATTTTCCTGCCGCTTGCACCCTGCCCCCCCAGCATCCAGCCATCTCTCCTCCCCTGCTGGTGCCACAAAAGTTGGGCTGCACCTAAGTCAGGCCCTCCTTGCTTACAGATAACTTGGAATGGAAGGAGCGTATCCTGAGTCAGGCTGTTGATTGGTAGTCACTGGCAGCAGTTCTCCAAAGTCTCTGGCAGGGATTCCTCCCAGTCAAGGAACCTGAGATCCTTTTCACTAGAAATGTGAGGGATTAAGCCTAGGACCTTCTTGCATGCAGAGTGTGTGTGCCTGTCCTCCTGCTGAATCATGTTGTCTCCCTGCAAGACAGATTCTCTCTTTGTGAAAAGGCTGTAATGCACAAAAGCAGTTGCCCTAGAATGGTTTTTTTTGTACTTCTCTAGGTTATTGTTCAAAACTACAACTCCGTCCTGACCCTCTCGCACCTGTACCAGACCTCAGATGCGCTCCTTGTTCACGAGAATGATGCCATCCACAAGATCTGTGCTCAGCTCATGAACATCAAGCAGATCTCTTTCCAGGATGTCAATCAAGTCATTGCGCATCAGCTAGGAAGCATCTTCCAGCCAGCTTATTCCTCTGACAGTGCCGTTCAGTACAGCAGAAGTCCCCTAGGTGGGTATCTGGCATTAGGGATGCCATAATGACTCATCTGATCTGATACTGTGATTCTGATACTGTGATTCTCATGTGTGGACAGTAATCCTTTCGTTTGGCCTTTGTCTGTATCTCCCCCCCCCCACCACCACCCTTATAGTTTCTCTGGATAGAACACAGAGCAGGGGTGGCCAAACTGCAGTTTGGGAGCCGCATGCGGCTCTTTCACACAGTCTAATTTAATGTTATAAAAAGTTAATTTGCATGTTTTTCAGTAAAAATGTGTGTGTGATATTTGTTCATGTCTTGTGGCTCTCAAACATCTGACGATTATTCTGTGTGGCTGTTACGTTAAGCAAGCTTGGCCACCCCTGACGCAGAGGGAAGGGCAAAAGGTGACCTGGTGTGACCCTGGACCAACGCAGTTAGCTTCATTTCAGTGTTTGTTTCTTCTTTCTCAGGAGACCTGATGGAAGCTCTTGTTCCTCATCCTGAGTTTAAAATGTTGGGTCTCCGTAACATTCCACAGATGTCTGAAAACTCGCTCGCCTTCAGCACTTTTGCCTGGCCCGGACTCCTGAAACACCTGAGACAGATGCTCATCGCTAATGCCAAAATGGAAGAAGGTAGAACTCTCAGCTTACTGAGGAGCCACTTTGAGAGAGTGAAGAGAGAGGGACCCAGTCCCTCACTGCAGCTGTCCCCTTCCCATTGGGCTTAGGGCAGCAATGTTGGGTTGTGGGGAAGGTCAGAGGGCTTAGATTTTACACGGGTCCCCAACCGTTTTGAGCCTTCCGAGACCTTTGGAATTCTAACACAGGGCAGTGAGCACAGCCCCAAAATGGCTGCCTTAAGAGGCAGAGCCAGTGTCAAAACTGCTGCTGCTGCTTACCTTCGTTCACAGCGTGAAGATCCTTGTAGTGTGGTAGCGGCTGCTGCCGTAGCAACATTTTGAAAAATATGCACGGTCAATCAGAAACTTTGCTGGGCTAAAGCCCCACCCACTTTCTAAAAACATTTGGTGGGCCCCAGGAAAGGTGATTGTGGGTGCCATGGCGCCCAGGGGCACCACATTGGAGACCCCTGGCCTATGGCCACCAGTGACACAGTGGGCCTGATTTACCTAGAGAGGGTTATCTGTTCCTGACCCCTATTTAAATTGATCCACAGAGACTGTCAGGTCTTGTCTCTGTGTGGTAAAAGAAACTAAATCGTTTGCTAAGAAAAGGAAACCCAAATTCATTATGCAGGGTATGGACGTGGGGTGAGACGAGTGGGGTGGAAGCAAAAAGGAACTCTTCAGAGTGCTTGATGCCTCAGTTTCCCAGGGGGAGGAGGACATAGGGCTGAACCTGGTTCAGGTTCATACTTCGCAATCTATACTCAGTTTTTTTTCAATATGAAGTTATTTATATTTCCAAAAATCATATGCCATCATCAATTAATCATGTGGTGGGAACCTCAGTCGAAATAAGAGGACTCTGTAAGAGGAGAGGGAAGATGTCATGATGAACTCCTTCACTGAGACAACTTGAGTAAATATTTGTGTGTGAAAGGAAATACTTTCTCCCCCTCTGTCTTTTCCTCAGAACTTAGGCTGAGTGTGTGACCGGCCCAAGGACATTTGAACTCCGGTCTCCCCAATTATTTATTAAATTCCATTTATACCCCGCCCTCCCCGCGGACAGGCTCAGGGCGGCTCACATTAATTGGCACCCAGTATCATAAAACCATATACAAAAGTTAAAACATTTAAAACAATCAAATAATCAAAGTGCTAGTGATAGTAATCGTCTTTCAGTAATTAATATGGCATACTATATAGTATAGAAGCACTGTGTGACAAGAGTGTTGGACTGGATGGGCCTTTGGCCTGATCCAACATTGGCATCTCTTATGTTCTTATGTTCTTAAGCAATGGTTTCCAGGTCAGTGATCTTTTGGCATTGTGCGATGGAATGGCTCAATCTCCAGGCTGGGGCCAACCCATAACCACAGATGCTGGAGGTAGAGGTGTGGCGGATTAGGCTTCTCCACCTTCTCCAAAGCAAGGCATTGCTAGCTCCCAACATGGCCATCAAGGCAAAATTGAGCCAGGATGGAATCAGGACAGATGGCACACATCTAGGTAGGAAGTGGGTGCTTGGATGGAACCGTTTCTTTCTCTAAGGCAGGGCCACCAGGACAGAGTAATAAGGCAGTTATTCGTATCCCATCAAAGGCAAACCGTAATTCTCTCGATCCATTATTTATATCGGAGAGTTTCAGAGGGTTAGTTGTGCTGGTCTCCAGTAGAACAGCTAGATTCAAGTCGAGGAGCACCTTAGAGGCCAACCAGATTTTTGGAGTAGTATAAGATTATAAGATTTTCAGATACTAACGAAGGGAACTTTGGCTCTTGAAAGCTCATACCCCCGAAATCTTGCTGATGTCGAAGGTGCTACCGGACTCTAATCTAGCCTAATTTACGTCAGAGTTTGTGTTGCAGAGTACAGGAAGTACATTCTTCAGCCCAGCCACTGTGGCCTCCTGACTGCCAGATGGATCAATCTTTCCCTTCCCCCTTCCATACACACTCTCTCTCTCTCCCTGTTGGTTCTTCGTGGACAGTATTATCCACTGAAGGCCCCCTCCCCCTCTTATCTTTACAAAAACAAAGCCATCCCTGTGCCGCCTAAGGACTTGTTATATCGCTACAACAACAAACAGGACTGGCCGTACTTGAAAACCCAACAGCCTGAGCAGCTTTATGATGCTGGGGGGTGGGGTGGGGGATTGCCCCTGCTGGGAAATCCCAGAGGGCCCGGCAGCCTAGAGGCAGCATTATCCCTGCTGAGAAATCGGGGTGGGGTGGGTGTCAGGGTTTGAGCCTGGCCCCACTTTGTAGTTTATACACCTGATGACTAAAAGTCCTGCTCTTGGGCCCCAGTGTGGCTGCTTAAGGCAGATGCTAGTGAAACCTTTTTTAAAGTAACTTCTCAAGTTATTGCCACACTTGCAACTTCAAAGAGAAGCTTCAAGATACATAGGCATAGGACAGAGTTCCTCAGTTTGCTGGTTTCTTATCAGATGCTAAATGATAATTTCAGTTTCTTGCTCCGAGAGGGAAGACATCCTGTGGTGGGTGACTCCTTCCACTATTTTTGCTGATAATGTAATCATTCTTAGTAGCTGTGCGGATAGGTCATTGTGCTCACCATTTGTTTCATTTCAAAATATACAATCATTAGTTTAATACGTCTTCAGTCTACTGTGCCTCCAGGGGGCTCTAGAACAGAAAATGTGAATGATCCCAGATGCCAATATCTTCTTGGGGGCCAGAGGTACTCTTAGTGATTCTGGAACCCTGGCCAGATGTCAAGGATGGGGCTCCCACACCCCTTTTTAACCCCACTCAACAAGAATAAAGGGGATGACTGCTCTCCGGAATGAGTGGGGTAATGGGAGACCCATCCTTGACTTTCGTCCAAAGCCCCAGGGGAACAGTCCATTGATACGGTGCCAGGGCCTCAAGCACTTGATGTTCCCATTCCTGTTGGTGTTTACAGGCATTGATTGGCAGGTGCGACCACCGCTCCCTGGACTGCCTCTGCCCCAGAAACAGTCCCCGAACAGGACAGCTCATTTCAACACTTCCATTGCAAACTTGATTACCCTGCGAGGAAAAGATGTACAGACTGCAGATTTGGGTGAGAAATTGCATTGGAGGGAAGGAGGGTTGCAGTGGATACTTCTGTCTCGGTAGCTCGCTGCCTTGTCAGATTTGCCTACAGCTGGTTTGAAAACGCCTGGCCAGAGGTTTTCCAAGACATGGGGTTGTGACAAGCAGCTTAACTGATGTGTGCCACCATCAGGCCATGTTTCCTGACCTTAAGCCTGGCTGTGACAAATGTTCTCTTCAGCTTTACAAACCACCCTTAGGAGCCAAGACTTATTTTTTAGCCATAATCCTAAACTCTTCAGAGTTTCTTATCATTTGTTTTAAAGCTATACCAACAGCACTGTAGCATATAAATAAACACGGGGTAATGCTGGTTGTCATCACAGCAAAAATGAATCTGTATCCTTCACCCAAATAAGCTTTGTACTTCTTCTGAGAATCACCAAGAGGCACTACAAAATAAATGACTGCTGAAAATACTAAGCCCCACAATGAAATTCCTAGGAGCCATGGTGCCTGGCACCTGAGATTTGTCAGTCTTGTCCTTAAGCACCATGGGAGCAGAGAGACAACAGCCAGAGGCTATTCTAGAGTTCTACTGCCACATGGTGGTGAATTCTGTGCACTGAGGAGGTCTGCACAGGTGTGGAATTTCAGGGAATGGCTGAAGGAGCAAAGCTAAGAGGCTTTGTCTCAGAAGGCTAGTATAGATCCGTGTAAGGAAAAATATGGAAAGGTGCAGGAACTTGTTGCTTGCCTGGATTCAGCCAAAAAGTTGGCGTAAAGAAAAATTGCAGTACCTGTGAACCTGTCCTAGAGATAGAAGGGCAGTCAGGAATAGGCTAGCTGTCCATCATGGGATGAGAATTTGGCACATTTCACTCCTCCAGAACCTGGCCTCCGGGAAGCTCAGAAGCAGGCCATGAAGGAGCTGGCCTTCTCCCAACAATATACTCCCTCCCAACTAGGGCAGTGCTTAGGGTGAGAGCCAGTGGGAAGTTTTTTTTTTTTTTTTTAAAGCACTCAGTGAGCCCGGTCAGCCTACACAGCTTGCAGCTGGGCCATGGCTAAGTGGAAGAGCATCTGCTTGGCATGCAGGAGGTCCCAGAAGGCATCTCCAGTTAAGAATCAGGTCATAAGTGATGTGAAAGACCTCTTCCTGAGACCCCAGAGAGCTGCTGCCAGCCAAAGTAGAGAGTGTTGACTTGAATTGACCAGTGGCCTGGTTCACTATAGGGCAGCTTCACGTGAGTGGGTGAAAGCACAGCTCAAGGAATGGGATGTTGATGTGGGATGAACTCCTCTTGTGCAGCCAGCGCAGGAAACTGTTGCCCCTCCATGCCTCTCTGTTCTGAGAGTCACTGTACTGCAGTGTACTGGGGAGACTCCAGTTCAGATCACTACCTGGTGGATGGCTCCCACTTTCAGATTGTAGAGGGTCCGTGGCTCAGTGGTAGAGCATCTGCTTGTCATGTAGAAGTTCCCAGGTTCAATCCCCAGCATCTCCAATTAAATGGACTAGGCAGTAGGTGAAGCGGAGGACCTCCGTCTGAGACCCTGGAAAGCGCCTGCTAGCCTGAGTAGATACCAGTGACCTTGACGCAGCTTCATGTGTTAATTGCTGTGATAATAAAATTGGGGTGGAGTTAGAGGTTGAAGACGAATATCATGAGCTCCTTTGAGGAAAATTGGGATGTGTGTGTTTGTAATAAATACATTTTAAGATGCAGTGCTTGATGTTTCAGGAGGTTTCAGAGACCCTGCCTTGTACACCTCGTGGCTAAGCGCTCAGGAGGCCTTGGCCATCTGGAAGACCCCGAGAGCCTTTAACAAGTATGAGAAGTCTGCGTCTTTGGTCAGCAACAGCCAGTGTTTACTGAAGCCCATCGATGCTGTAGTGTCAAAGGCCTGGAAAATGTTTGCTTCCAAGTAAGTGGGGGTGTGTGTTAGGGGCACTATTCTGTCTTGAACTTGGCAGAATGTGCCAGGGCTTATCCTGCTACGGACAGGTGCCGGTGTTGGGGAAAATGGGCAGTGTGCAAAAAGCAGGGCAAAGGGAAGCTGGGTCTGAAGGGGTGCGTCTGTGTTCGGGGTCATTGGCCTCTTATGCCTTGTGTACTGTAATAGGAGGAGGGTTTTTTTAAACTGAACTGCAACCGTTTCAAACATTCTCCCGTAGAAGCATGGCCAAAGCCCTGCTGTCTGCTAACTAGGCAGGGACAGTCTTGGAGCCTTTGGAGCAGGGTTTCAAAATGACCCTGCCTGTGACCAAGAGACAGAGAGTACTCAAACGCTGGACGCACACGTCCATCCACTTGCAGCCGGACATGGTCCAGCCTAGGTTTTTCTTAGGTTTGTTTCAGTGGGCATTCACCCTCTCTCTGATAACTAGGTATCCTTGTCACAAGTGGGTTAAAATTATCCTCCTATCTGCCGACTCCTGGTCTTTAAAAAGGCAAGCCAAGCATCTTTCGGGACCCTCAGAAGAAAAGTTTCATGCTCCGGCTTTGGCAAGCCTTGGGAGGAACGGAACGGCCACCGCTGTGGGACAGCCGCTGACAACATGTCATGTTCAGGCACCTAAAGGGAGCAAAAATATGGAACTCTTGGCCCAGGTCCTGCTAAACTGGTTGCTGGGTCCAACTAAATCTGCTCCGACCTGGACGGCCCGATCTCGTCAGCCCTTGGAAGCGAAGCAGGGTCAGCCCTGGCTAGGACTTGGATGGGAGCCTGTCAAGGAAGTCCAGGGTGGCCACGCAGAGGCAGGCCATGGCCAGCCACCTTTGTTCCTCTAGTGCCCTGAAAGCCCTACAGGGTCACCACAAGTCAGCTGAGACCTGACTATTATGACTATAGTGAAAACCTCAGAGTAGCCAGGCCAGAGCAGACCAATGGTCCATGTAGCCCAGCATCGCCTGCAAACAGACCTTGCCTGCTGACTGCTCCCCAGCATTTGATAATCAGGCCTGCTGCCTCTGAATGCCGTACGGGATCACCGTAAGTCGGTTGTGGCATGATGACACTTCCCACCACCTCCACCATCCCTGTTGCTTCCAGCATGATTTAGCCATGACTGGTTTTTAACCCTTGTGTATAGCTGTCTGTTGTTTACTGACCCCTCTTTTTGTTCTGCCCAGGGCTTATGTTCATCAGTACACCAAGTTTGGGATAGAAGAGGAAGACTTTCTGGACTGTTTCTCCACTCTGGAACAGGTTATCGCCAGCTACTCCAGCCTTTGATGTTGGACCAGGGCGGGACAAGCATGCATGGGCTGTGCAAGTCTGATGGCCCATTAAGGGGGAAAGATGGAGGAGGGAGCCTGACATCCACAGCAGAACAGGCGTGTGCCTCGTAGAACCAACCAAGGAGCACGGCGAAGGGGAGCTAAGATGGAAGTGTCTCACAGGCAACTTTTCCATGACAGATGGTGCTCTGCCATGCTTCCTACATATCTGGGGAAGTTCCAACACACAAAAGGAGTTCCAGGGCCCCCTTCTGCACAGAAAGGAGACCCATCTATTCCTTCCTTCTCTTGAAATTGACTTAGCATGTTTCAAAAGCTCGAGAGGATCTAGGAATGAGGATCCAAGGCAGAAGCAGCTGTCTTAAGGCACAAGTATATAAAGTGCATTGTTTGGGAACTGGAGCGATTCAGTCCCCCATTTGCTCACAGGTACCTTTTATTTAGTCCAGGTTTTATGCATTTTGCCCATGTCATAATTTTTTTTAGTGATGTTTTCCCCATGTTTCAACAGCTGCCCCTGTCGTATGTCACCCTGCATCCACCTAGCTATCCCTATACTTTTGTATCCCATTCTTTCTTCAGATTGCTCAGGTCATTGATAATGATTATGCAATTTTTACCCCAGAGCAGTGGTTTGGGGTTAAATTACTGCACAGTCTCACTTGGGGCGTATTGTAGCCTGTCACCTAGTACAAGCCCAAGGCACTTTCCAAAGGAGTTGAGGACAGAATGTTTTTTCTTTAAATAATTTGATGGATATGATGTAAGAGACCCTGAACAGACAACACTCCAGTGGCCAGCTGTGGTTCTGCCCACATCCCTGAACGCTCCCATCTGTTTGGGAATGCAGGAGTAGCTGGCAGTCCCCACATCTCATGGAGGCCCCAGAAGGCTGCCTCATCCTCACAGTGGGTTCCCTAACTCTCAGGGACCCTGTCTTTCTCTGGGATGTTCCCCACATGCCCAGTCGTACAGCAGAGTGCCCATCATCTATTGTCTCTCAAGCTCTAAGTACAGAGACATGAAGCTTCCAAAGTGCACTGGAAGGCCTGCTATCCAGTCATGCACAGCCTTACTGAGCTTCGGCATTGGAGGCTGGGCTTTTTTCTGGCCACCAGGTGGCACCATTGGCCAGCTCTGCACAGACAGCTTTTTGAAGGCACCAACCCCAAAAAACCCATATCTACTAGACATCCACGGGGGGGGGCGGGGGGGCGGGAGCAAGCATATAAGAAGAAATTGCATGGCGGTCATTTTCATTGATTCTGCCCTGATTCTGCCCTTGGAGCCTGACATGTGTGGTCAAGTCATAAGAACATAGGAGAAGCCACATTGGACCAGGCCGATGGCCCATCCAGTCCAGCATGCTGTGTCACACAGTGGCCAAAAACACCAGGTGCTATCAGGAGGTCCACCAGTCCTTCAGAAGCCCTCCCACTGTGGTCCCCCAAGCACCAAGAATACAGAGCATCTCTATACCTTGTGGCTCATAGCCACTAATGGACCTCTGTTCCATATGTTTATCCAGTCCTCTCTTAAAGCTGTTTGTGCTTATAGCTGCTACCACTTCCTGCAGCAGTGAATTCCACGTGTTAATTACTCTTTGGGTGAAGAAGTACTTCCTTTCACAGCTGACTCATGGCAACCCCATAGAGTTTTCAAAGTAGGAGAGTAACAGACACAATGTGGCACCATCAATATATGTGGAACATTCAAAATCCTAGCTGACAGCCCCCCCCAAAAAAAGCTTACAATCTAAACTTCAGAGAGTGGAGATACTCAGCCTCTCCAGTTAAGAAACTCAGCTAAGCAGTTCCAGTCTCTCAGCAGGCCCTTGAGAAAGTTGGCCTCCAGTTCAGATTCACACCCAGTGCTTTTAAAGCAGTGACAGATGATGAAAGCCAGTTCTGTTCACATCATACATTGTTATTCCATATATGCTTCACACAAAATTGCCTTCTACAGAATCAGGTCAGGTAACCAAATGTTGAAAAAAATTTCCTGAACCAGTGAGGGAGGATAAAAATTTAATAAATACCATAAAAATGCATAATGTGATACCATTAACAAAACCTTGCTGACCAGTTAAAATAACAATACATTAATCATTGTACAACTGACCAAATGTGTTTTGACAGGAAATTGCCTTCATTGGTGGGCAAAATTTCTCAACACAACTATGTGTATAATCCTATCAAATAACTACATAAACCTGTATGCTGTTGATCAGGTAAAGTAATTCACTGTACTGTTGACTGTAGAATTGGTATCTTCCTATAAACCTGTCCTTATAATGACCCCACTCTATATATACTACTTTTCCTGAAGTTTGATCAACTGTACAACCCTCACGCTGTAGTTAGCCATTCACAAACAGTGATGCAGTCTGTCTCCCATCCAGCCCCCAATTTGTCAAGGGCCAGCTTAATTTCAGAGATGGGACATCACCAACAGCTGCTGTGCCATTATCTGGGCCCCAATTTATGCAGTTCTAGTAAGTAATATTTGGTCACCTCCGGTACCAGTCAGTCATG